AGTATCTCTAAAACAAAATATGGTGTCGCAACTAACCACTGATCATTACAATGGGGCTCAGGCGTGAGATAACACAAGTGAGGTGAGGACAGAAATGTGTTCCTGATGTGTGTACAAAAAGAAAATCATGGTCAATTTCAAGCTTTGAAAAAATATATATCAGTATAGTACTCACTAAGATAAAAAAGTCCTGTTCACAAATCTCCACACAGGCTTCCTGTATATAGAATCATTGGTCTTTATGTCTTTGAAAATTGTAAAAACAGCTATATGAAATGATTATAATTATTGTTGCTGTTATTATCATTTCTCTTTTTAAATCCCATGTTTGTGTTTCTTTCCTCTTTCCTTTTTGAATTGTAATCATTTTTGTCGAAAGGTGCTTCAATAGTAGTCATAAATATAATCCATAAAAGTGTCACCTCTTAGAGAAACTATATGTTGGTTTCAAGTTTCTGTCTTCTTACAGTAAATTGCTGAATGATTAAAAATTAAATAAAGAAAAGTATAAATTCTATGAAGTGATAGCTATCACAGGTCTGAGGAAGTTTCTCCAATAGCAGTAACCTCAGTCACACTATACAAACTATACAGTCACAGGAATTTTATCTGTCCCTCACAGAGGTATGGTGAGCTGATTCAGGGGCGCATCCAGGCGCAGATCCAGGGGGGCAGTGACCCCAGCTGAAATCGGATTGGCAGCCTGAAGTGACCCTGTCCTGTCAGTCGTCTAGAAAAAACACCTGTGACTTACTAACAATACTAACAACAAAAAAATTTTTTTTAGTGCTACTACTAAAATAGAACATATTACTCTAATTTTAGCTTCCCGTGACTGGCTTCTACATTATAGAATTACGATTTTATTGCTGACTTTAAAGCCCCATTCTGAACCCACCTCAGAACATTTCAGGTATGTGCCCAGTTGAAACCTGAGATCCTCAGCAAAGACGATACTCGGCTGAGGCCCAAAAGTGACCAGGCCTTTTCTCTCAGGGTTACCTTTCTTTAGAAAAACCTCCCTGATGAGGCAAACCTGGTGTCATATTTTAAGTCTCTTTAAAAGCCACATTTCTATAGGTGTTCTTTCTCCTATTTTAATTTATTAAAAAAAAACAAATTGCAAAAACAACAATGGAAAATGTTTCCAGGGGACCCAAAACCTAGCTGCAGTTCAATGCTTCGTGAAGTTCCATCACCATTGACAAGTAGCAGACTTGTTGTCATAATTTGCATATGTTTTTCTATTTGCATGTTTTTTCTTGCAGTGCGTTGAGCTCTCTCGGCCACCGTAGAAAACTGTTGAAAAGTAATTTGTCATTAATTTTTGATTTTGAACCAGCTTTGTACCTGTGATTTGAAAGGTGCTATGCAGCCTAGATAAAGGTGGTTTATTATATTTTTGAAGTATGTGCTTGAACAAGGAGCAATTTTTGAACTACAGTATATTCAATGATGTGTGGCTTTGAATCAAAGTCATAGAGCTAACAGTAAACAGGGAATGACTTAAATGTGCACCTTAATGAATCAGGAATTGTTCATGGATGTTAAACAAATTATTTGCCCCATCTGTTTAAATTGTGGCCCCTTTATGGCCCCTGAAAACCCTCGATCCACCACTGGCTTAGAAGAAGACTTTCTCAATTAAACTAAGAGAGAACTCGATGATAATAACGTGAAAATACTAATGTGCATAAGAATAAATGCTTGTCTCTTCTCTGTTGGTGGCCACTGTACGCACCGTTCAATCTATCCATCACATCTCCAACTTCTCCCGCGCCTCTAATGACGCAGTCAAGTGTCAGCGCGGGTGCGTGTTTGACACGAGCCTTCATATTCCTCTGACGTGAGGCTGCAACTCTCAGAAGAGCAAGAAGTCAAGAATCAAAACAAAAGCAAGAGACACAGAAGAAGGAGGGCAAGACCAGAAGAGCGAGGACAGTCCAGTGAGAGAGAGATGAGGACCTTCCAGAGCCAAAGTGATCCTGAGCAGTGCGGAGCCTCCAGCAGCAGCAGCGGCAGCAGCAGCAGCAGCGGCGGCGCCATGAGTCCACTGAGCACGGCCAGCATCACCCTGGCAGCCCTGCTCATCCTCACCATACCAGTCTGCACCAGTGAGTCACACACACTGCTCTACTCTGCTTTATGTCTTTATACTTCACTTTCTCTCTAACTTTGTGGAAGATCAAACTCTCAAGTTCTTGCACGTGTGAAAGTATCTATCTATCTATCTATCTATCTATCTATCTATCTATCTATCTATCTATCTATCTATCTATCTATCTATCTATCTATCTGTCTCTCTC